TCCTTCGAACGGAGGGGGAATAAAGCCTTGGCGGTGTGGCGGTGATGCATGGCTCCGAACGGCGGATCCTTCCCCTCCAGGACTCCCGATTCCCGTTTCCCGATACCCAGACTTAGAGCCTTGGCTTCCTAAGTCCGCACACATCGCTGCACATTTATTTCCGGCAAATTAGGCTCAGCACGGTCGGGAAGCCCACGCCTTCGTTCCCGGACAATCCAAAGCAGTTTTCCGTCTTGCAAGCCGCTTTGCGATTCAAACTCGACGTTGCTCATACGCCCCGACGGCCCAGATGACCCAGATGACCCAGACGACCCCGAAAGCAACCGTTGTCAATGCGAAAACATGAAAATGATAACGGACAATTTATTGAAGCGCTACAGATACACATTGGGCCGGTCAAGAGTAGGCAACGCAATTCCAGAAGCGGCGAGATACGGCCGGCAAATGCGAATGGCCACGATTATTATGATTTGTCGATTCCCGTCCACTGCCGCCTTTCCGCCCATATTTTTGCGGGATATCAATGCGAGCTTGTTTATTTGCCCTGCACACAGAGAGAAATGCAGGGCTCCAAGGAAATTCCGCCTTTCGCAGCCTGACAAATGGGAGTGGGACGCCCAAAAGCGAATCTGTTTAGCATGTCTTTGATTTCCCGCGCACTCTGCGGAGTCTGGCGGGGGAGGCAATCCCTCAGTCCGGAATGCGGAGTGGGGTCACCCACCTTGGCTGCTTTTTTCGGCAGATGGCAGGGAAGGGTCTGCGTTCCCAGGACCCCGACTTCAACAGCTTAGCAGCCCGTGTCAATGGCTCAGTGCGTGAGAATTTGTTGCCCTGCGAGCTTAGAGGGCGGAAAGCGACGCAGGAGACGGAAGAGGCGGAACGGAGGGCGACAGGTGGAGGAGCTCACCTGGGCCACATACATCACCGGGACCCTCCGATCCATGTTTAGTAGACAGTTTTATTTACGCTGATGGTCATAAATATTTGAATTACAATATAATATTTAAGCCCAAGCCAGCTTGAGTCTAGGGCTAGGGGTGAAAGATTTATGGCCGCCGCAAATGCGCGCCAGCCACTTAATGCATTTTAATTTATTAAGCTGTCAATCTGCAGGGCGGAACAGCCACTCCGCACTGCTATTCAGCTGCTCCAGCACGTGTGGACGGGATTTGGACGGACGGAGGGAGTCACTCGGTTTGGTGGCAAACGATTTTTCAATCTCAGCGGACACGGACGGAATTCAAGTTGACTGCATTAAAGTCACACGTTGTTGCTCTCCTCCCAAACGAATTATCCTTGTACCTTCGCAATGTTAACTTCTTTAATTTCAATCGTTATGATTTCCAATATATTTTGAGTAGTTCCATGAAATTATGTGTTAAATCAATTACATAAACTATATATATCCCTTCTTGGGCGCAAATCAGACTGAATTGCAATTCGATTTCATTGTTTCCTGTCAGTTGATAGTCTTGAGTCTTGGACGACAACCGAAGTGGTGTGCAAAATGACCAATTTCAATTAGATGTGCTGATTTGGTACGGCAAAGTTGCAACTAGGCACACACCGAAGCACACGCACATCGAAAACATCCTTGAGGAGCTACAGAGAGAAAAATTAGAAGTGCAACTAATCAACAAGTGTTTATGGAAAGGGCCAATGGGAACCGAAACCTATCCTATTGTATTACAATTTGTTCGATGTTAATCCCACTTTCTTCTCGACGATTGCCCAAACTAAAGCAAAGCTGTTCGATTTGCATTTTTCAGTTCATCCAGAGCTTGGGAATTTTTCGAGTGCCAACCCACACACGCAGAGCCAACAACCTGCCGGCTGTTTAAATATGAGCAACAGATTAAAACTTAATTTAAAGTTGACCCAGCCGGGTTTCGTGTTTCCACTTCAAGTTTAATTAATATGTTAAGCCCGCAAAGCCGCACCGGTAAACTAACCCCATCGGGCTTTCGTCTCCTGTGTTTGTTTTTTGTTTTCCCCCCAGAAATCATACCCCCGAAAAACTTGGGCAAACAAAGGGCTCGGGGGAAGAGCACATGATACTCCCGGAACGCAGACGATAAGGCACCTTGAACGGAGGCTTACATGTGTAGGCGGAGCTCGGAGTGAATGCCAATTGTCTGCCGGAGTCCTGGCCATTATGCTCGCATTTCATCTGCGTGCGCAGAGTTAATCCGCCGGGTTCGGCATTACTGCGGTTGCCATGGCCAGATATGCGCGGATATATACTGCTCATACTATATCTACTATCTGTGCATCTGCAGCTGCAGCCATGGTGCTATGCATTGTTCTAATGCGTGCTTAAAGCGCGTTTCCAGCATTTCAAACTCGTCTGCACGCCCGAGTGGCCACAGTTGCGGTCGCATAAATACTGCCACGGCAGCGGATCATCAATTGGGTTTCTGAGCTGCTCAGCAATAGCTGAATATTGGAAATATAATATTATTATGGCTTTTAAAATGAAAATAAAATCAAACTTTAACAACTAAACAAAAATGTTATGACTACATATTTCAACTGTTGAGAAACGTTACTCTTTATGGAGCATCTTGAGGATTTGAAAGTAATCCCGATCCGAGCGTCCGCTGCAGTGGCTTCCACTGCGGATGCAGCTCCCAAACAGAAACAAAGCACAAAGCGCCACTCGACAAATGCGCTGTAATTTGAGGCGACAAGTACGTAACGCGAATTTTAAATGTATTTCACGCACTGCGGCTGACGAATCGTGGTTTCCCCCCAGCCCCATTCCCTCCCCCTCCCCCTCCCGCTGTCCCCCACTAATCCCGTTAAATCCATGAAAAGTCCTCTTCAGCCTCGCCCGAAAGTGCCGTCAAGTGGTGGCTGTCGCCGCCAGCCAGGGCCCACTGTGACACGGAGAAAAAACCCAATAAACATAAAATGAATACAAGGGGAACAATTCATAAGAATTTTGCAGTTTTATATAAGTAAAGAACTTTTAATTATTGTTGTAGGGAGATTCCTTTTTAGGTAAAAGGGGCAAGTCGGTGAACTTTTTTTTTACCATCCATAGGGGTATCACCAGTTTTCTTCCGGTGCAAGTGGCGGAAGCTCAGTTTGAGCTGAAATGGAGTGCGGATACCACGTTGCTGGAACCGAATCGAATCACAAAGCACGCGGATTTCAATTAAACAGCCACGCACCGCAGAGTGTCCTTTGAATCACCTTTTTATGGCCTCCAGCGTCGCGCTTATCGGGCAGAATGAAGCAGCAATTAGAGCGAAGTGATTTATCTATCAAGGAACAGGGAAACCTCCGGGAGTGGACATGAGAGCACGCGACTTCTTGGTGAGTGAAACCAAAGCTGGGTAACTTTTCGATGGACTCACGCCACCGGATCGAGACACGCACTTCATAAGCAAATAAATAAATAACTTTTGGGGAAAAGGAAAGCGACTGCAAGGCAGCATCCGCTCTTGAAATATTTTGTTTAGGACAAACGACAAAATCCGAGCCAAAGTATAGTTATTCGGACCGGAATTTATTCAGAAATGCATGCAAAACTTTATCCGAGAATTTAGCTCTCATTTGCATATAAGTCACACCGCAAAAAGTCAACATTTACAAGTTCTTCACACCCTGCGCACGAGAATAAGAATATTAAAATCGCATTTTGCTCGAGGTGTTCGCTTTATAAAGCCATTAGGGACTGTCCGGGGGACGGAGGCAGGGGCTCTGCGGAGGAGTCCGCATGTGTCGGCCGGCATTTTAACACTTTAATCATTGAAATGCAAATTCATGGCCGAGTTTAGCAGGACATGCGTCAGGAGGCAGCAGCAGGACATGTATGTGAACACGGCCACCGACTGTCACGCCCCGAATTCTGGAGAGGACAGCTCAGGATTCGGGATTTAGCATATTTGGGACGACATGGCAAGAAAACACGCCTCTTAAATTAAAAATATTAAAATGCGCAAAATAAATATCAAAAATTAAAAAAAATAATGGTGCGGCCCGGGGATGGGATTTATGCCTTGCCTGTTTTTTTTCTACAAAGTTAGTATGGTATTAGAGACAAATATTGCACATTTTATTTATTTATTTGAACATTTTATTTTTTTTTTTTTGTGTAGTGGAACGCATTTTAAATTCAGCCTACTACAGCTGCGTTCCTTTCGGGCCCTGAAAATAACGCCGGACCCGGCAAGCGAATAAATTAACCTATATCGCATTTATATTCGGAAGTAGTGATGAAGATGAAGACCAAACCTGAATTTCACGGGAAGTGCTCCCTTTATTGCACGTAAATAAAGTCATAAAGTCATCATTACAACCGCGCCAACAAGGAGCGCGATAAAGGAGCACAAAGGACAAACTTTTGTGACTGCGATAAAAATTCGCAAATGTGCACAAATTACTCAAAACATATTAAAAACTGCGTCTCCGCCTCAACAATTTGTGCAAAACGTTGCACAAATTAAAAACCCTTCGAAGGGGCGGAGATAAAAGGAATTCCATTGTGGCAAGTTTTGTCGGCGAGCCAAAGTTTCGAAGTGGAAAATCGCAGTACAACTTTTCGCAACCGAAAAATGGAGTTCCATTGAGTGTTGCTTATTGGCAAAAAAAGTTTCCTTTGAAGATACGACATATGGAAACTTCGATAATATAGTTCGTAATAATTATCCTTGAGTTTTGCAGGAACCCATCAGAGCTGCCTGAAATGTCTACTGATCAAAAAGTCAATAAACAATTATAGCTTATCACACAAATTTTGGATGAGATTAATGCATTTGTCAGAAAAACCAGAACCATCCCTTGCAAAATTTAGTACGCCAATTTACTGCACATTATAGACAACTCGGAAAAATCGGGGCAAAGCATCCTTAGAATAACAAACTTATATGAAGTTCTTTGAAGAGTTTAATTACCCATTCTTAAAGGTATGCTACATTGAAATCGAGTATTCATAATTCAAAGTTGGCGCCACATGGGCAGCACTTCTCGATAAGCGTTTTTCAGCAAAGCATTTGCAGCCTACTAATTCCTCGCCGGCAAACGAAAACATTGAATAATCTGAAAGCGGAAGCATGTTGAGCTTATCCGTGGTCCTGAGGGTGCAATCCGCCCGGCAGAGAGCGTCCTTCGCCACAGCGGCGGCAGTCAAGACGCAAACGCAGCCCTCGAAGACGAAATCCAGGAGGGAGAGTCCCAAAAAGCAAAAGGAGCAGCCGCTAATCTCGTGCAGAAGAAGCCAGTTCAATTTGTTCGAGCACGAGCAGGCTGACTCCAAGTTCGGAAGCCTTTCACTGGCCTCCAAGGGCTGGTTGCACAACAAATCGAAGGGAGACTACTTCATTCTTAACGCCACCGTTGAAGCGGAGGAACTTTGCCAGGAAATGAAGACCGTAGATGCGTTCCTGGAGAGCACGCAGCTCAAGATTCACCCACAACTCCTTGAGAACTTACAAAACGAACTGGGCATCAAACTGCTAACGGGTATCCAAACTCAGGGGATCCCCGTCGTGCACGGGAAGGAGCACTGCCTGATCGCCGCCGAAACTGGGTGCGGAAAAACCCTCACATATCTACTGCCCATCTTGGACAGGCTCCTGCAAAAGGAAGGGCCCGAGCGAAAGCTCAACACTCCCCGAGCCCTGATCCTCACCCCCGGCAGAGAACTGGCCACCCAGATCGCTGGGGTAGCAGAAAAGCTCGCCCAGGGCACCGGTCTCAAGGTGCAGGCTCTCCTCGGGGGCAACACAAAGCAGCTGATGATGAACCCGCAGTTCGAGGAGGTTGACGTACTGGTGGCCACTCTGGGAGCGCTCAGCAAACTAGTGACAACCGGGATCTACCGCATGGAGCAGGTCCGTCACCTGGTTCTGGATGAGGCTGACACCCTGCTGGACGACACTTTTACGGACAAGCTGACCTACTTCCTCAGAAGATTTCCCGTAAGACCTGGACTTGGGCTTCCAGTCGAAGCGTTGTAATTGCCTTTCCACTCTTCGATAGTTCCATTTGGTGCAAAAGGAGGACGCTGGCACCCAACTCATCCTGGCCTCGGCCACCATGCCTACGAATACCAGGGAAATCCTGCACAGGGTCGTGGACGTGGACACCATTCGGGAAGTGGTCAGTCCGCATCTGCACCGCCTGATGCCGCATGTGCCCCAGAAGTTCCTGCGCATGTCGAAGGCCGATCGACCAGCCACACTCCTATCGCTCGTCAAGCAAGATCTTGCCAAGCGGCGTCCACTGATCGTCTTCAGCAACAAGTCCGCCACCAGCGACTATGTATCCATCTTCCTGAACAACAGCGGGGTGAACTGCCTGAATCTGAACGGAGACATGCTGATGAAGATCCGGCTCGGCCGCTTCGAGCAGTTTCAAAACGGTCACTGCGATGTGCTCTCCACCACCGACGTGGGAAGCCGAGGTCTGGATACCACCAGAGCCAGACATGTGGTCAACTTTGACTTTCCGCTCCACGTGTCCGATTACATCCACCGGTGTGGCAGGATCGGGCGAGTTGGGAACCTGGACAAGGCGCTGGTCACGAACTTAATCTCCTCGCGCCGCGAAATCGACGTCGTTCAGCGGATAGAACATGCGGCCCGAACGGGAGGACTGCTCCCAAATGTGAATGCCAACATCCGTAACATTATCAACAAGCGAATTGTGGCCGAGATGAAGGCGGCGGGAGTGCCCGTTCCGGTTTTAGGATCTGGGAACGGGCAAGCTCATGAGGAGGCCTTCTAGTCCTGTATTTGTTGTTTACTGCGATAAAATAATGTTGGTTTTAAAGTGATATCTTAGTTTTTTATTGAGATCCCCCTTAAATTTTTCATAATCCCATTCAGATCCTCAGGTAGTGGTAGCCGCTGGTGGGCAGGCACCTCCTCACGTTGGTAAGCGGTTTGAACAGCTTTCGCTTGGCAATGAGAATATCCGAGCTGGCACCACCACCCGCACCACCATTCGCCGTGGACGAAGGGGAGTCCACGGAAGGCGGAACGCTCGAAACCTTCGGCTTCACCAGCCTTGGTCGGCAACCGGCGAACTTGAAGCGAATGCTGCCCGCGCAGTTGAGCTGCAGGTTCGGGGGCTGGAGGTCGGGGAAGGCCTCGCAGAGAGTCGGCTTTGGCTTGAGCGCCTTGCTGGGATCGTCGCCGTGGCACATGGCTGCAGCCAGAGTGCTCCATTCCAGCCGACGCACTCCGGGCACCGACTCTATTCTGTAAGCGGGAGGCTTGACTCTCGAATATCGCCTGGACACCATCTTTTCGTAGGCACCTGCAATGATTGCCGGTTATGAGGAGGCTTTAGGGGAAAAAATAATATTTCCTACGCGCATAGTACACAATAAAGGGCTGCAAAGCGCTGCCGCATCCATGCTCGAGCCACTCGTATAAGAATATATCCTCCCGTCCGACCAGAAAAATGGCAGCCGGCGCCAAATCCAACCACAGGCTGTCCGGGATTTCCTCGACGCCTAGCTTGTATATATACGGAATGAACTCCCTGAAGGCGTACTCTCCTAGGGAAATCAGCCCACGCACGGCTCTGCTGATGTACTTGTAGTCTGGCAAAGGAAACCAAAGTTTAAACCTGCAAGCTTTTAGCTGGCCAAAGAAGTTTACCCCGCTCACTGCAAACATCGCGACCTTCGAAGAATCTCGCCAGACGTCTTTTGATCAGGAAGAGGCACTCCGAATGCAGATAGCCACTCTGGGACGCCAGCTGGCCCATTGTTTCGCACAGCTCGTCTACCAGAGCATTTTCCACTGGACTGGCAAAGTAAGTCGATAGGTGTTCGGTTTCCGGATGGGCATTCCGGTCCTCCTCCTCCGTTTGAAGTTTGTAGATGGTGTGCTCCTGGGTGGTCTCACTGGATAACTCTTGCGGGTCCTGCTCCTTCTTGTCTGCTTCTGTGGCATCGGGATTCGGGCACAGTTCTGGCTCGGTTTTCAACTGCTCTTCGCACTCCATTTTAATGCCTGTCTGTTGCCCGGGAGCTGGATCCTCGGGAGGAGCCTTGATGGTCTCGAAGGGCGCCATCAACTGGCTGACCAGGACCTCGGCCAAGTTGAAATACTCTGGCCGACATGCGTTGTGGTTGGCAGTGGCGTTATAATTGCAGGCTCGAAGCAGTCGCCAACATCGCTGGCTCAACTGATCCTGCTGCTTGAAGGCCAGCAGCTGGACCATTTTGCTCACTATCACCCGGTACATGGATCCCATCAGCGGCGTTTGGAAGGCGTGAGCGACTGCCGCCGACTGGGTTTTGCTGTCCGCAAAAAGAGCTGCCGTTACCAGGCTCTGAACGCACTGTCTCAGCTGATCTGAGTGCTTGTCTTCCACGGCACAGATGCTCTGGAAGTCGGCATCATACGGCGTGGAGAGATGAATTTCCTTTTGAAACTCTGCGCTCAGTTCGAAGATCTTATCCGAGTGAAAGTAGAAACTGCCGTCGTAGTCAATGCGATCCCAGTCACTGTCCATGGCTCCCAGCATGGGCGGCACATCTGCGTCCTTGAGCACCTCGTTTACCAGATCGTAGGTCACCACTCCTCCGGAATGCCGGGAATAGATCTTCACATTCTGGGGAAAATCATTGGATTAGGCACCTCAGGCGGGTGTATTAACACTAGCATACATTGATAAGTTCCCACACTTTGTAGGACGCATCCTCCGCCAGTCGGGCACACACATCCTGGGACAACTCCACATCCGTTTGGTCGTGCTGCTCCCAAAAGATCTTAATGCTCCTGGGGTCAAAGCCGGCATAGCTCTTTTGGTGACCCTGCAATAAAGCCGAATATAACCAGTGCCTTGGTTTTGTAATGTTACCCTACCATTCGGCTGGATGTTCCGGAGGCTTCAGCTCCTACGAATCCCCCCGGCAACTCCATGGCCCCCTCCTCCTGCTACCGCAAACGAGGCATCAAACAGGTTGTAGTTGCCCAAACTTGATGTCGGAGTTGTAGGCGTTGTCACCATGTTCAGGTGTGTGGGCGTGGCCGGTAGGCTGCCCACTGCCACGCCCCCACCCACTGCTGATGCAGAAGAGGCAGATACGGAAGTAGAAGCTGAGTTTTTTCCGGCCAACTCCAACTTGGCTGACTTGGAACGCGACTTGGTGGACTTCTTGCTGACCTTTCCGTGCGAAGACTTGTTCAGCTCGTCGGGATTGACGGAACCCGAGGTTTTCATCGTCTCGTTTATGTCATGCACATGTGTGTATTTTAAACGTTTAGTAAATAAACCTCAGCGGCACAGAAACGAAAACAAACTCTACCAGTGCTGTAAATATCCGAATTTGTGGCAATCACTTCATAATACCATAGTGCTGAGCATCTGGCTTTAAGAATCGCAATACTCATAATTTGTAAAATTTTAAACAGGTTCACTTCTTCATGTAGTCATATTTTTTACACTTTTTTTTATTTAATTAAATGAATAATAGATTTTAATTATTTGTAAGTCTGCACAGCTATATTTGAGTGCGCACGGTCTGTCCTATAAACAGTAGCCACCTGGGCTGATAAGAGATTTTATTTGGCACTTTACAACACTACGCTAGCTATCGTCGGTTTAACTTAATATGTTTATTGTTTTGATGAATAACATTGAATGAAACAATGGCAGAAGCTGCAAATGTGCGTCAGAACCTGCAGAATGTGCCCTCAATCTTCGAGATCTCGGCGGCAGAGACGCTGGACAACCTGATTTACCCGGCTTTGAGCAAGATCTTCGACTACTTTGGACTGCGGCTGGACTTTAAACTCTGGGGAAGTTTGCGGGTCAAAGAGGAGCTGTCACCGCTCTTAACCTGGCTGCTGCAGTATTTGTACCTACGGAAAAGAGCCTCTTCCTTCGGGGAGAGCTTTTATGGGTTGCAGAGAACGGTTACGGAGACTGGGGATTTGCTAAATCGCCGACAGCAGTTCCTATCCGCAACCTTCTTGACTTTTTTACCCTATATTGAACGTAAACTAAGGAGCAGGATCACCCGGCATGAGGACTCAAATCCCTGGGAGCAGCGGCTGCTTGGTGCCTTTCATTGCTTCCACGCCGCCAAGGCGGTGCACACATTCCTCTACCTTATAAAGTATGCCTCAAACCACTCGCCCATCTTCCGGCTTTTGGGCCTTACCCTTCGCTATCCCAACGAACCCCCACACGAAGACCAATGGACGTACCTCGTTCTCAAAATGCTTGAGGTTCTTGCCTTTTTCCTGCAATTCATCCAATGGTGGTATTCCAATGACCAACGTCGCAAAGTTGGAGGAACACTGCTCAACCCGGAGGCGATGCCAAGGACAGAACTGCCCAAGGAAGTTCAGAAGAGCCTTCCCAAAACGGGAGACTGCCCCGTTTGCCTGCTGCCCATCCAGACCCCAACTGCCTGTTCCGTCTCCGGATACGTCTTTTGCTGGAAGTGCATCGTGAGCCACATGAAGGAGCACGGCACTTGTCCAGTAACCCAATATGCCATTAGCTTGGACGATCTAGTGAGGATTTACGAGACGTAGCCTTAAGTTTATTCTTATATTTTGTACCTTCTTGTTCAATATATGTGATAAAATGTTACGGCTTAGATTCCGCCGAGAAAGAAGCCCAAACGCTGATCGTAGCATAAGTAGACGTGGTAGAAGTCCAAGTAAGCCAAGCTGATAAAAAGGCCGAAGCACTCGCATGAGATGAACTCGCTCATGGCGAATATGGAGTAGGCTGCGTGGAGATTCTGGGATAATAACCAGTAGCAAACGCAAGTGAAGTACTCACCGAAGGAAACACACCATTTGTGGTGGATAAAGTAAAAGACCCACATAACGACCACCGATACAAAGTAGGGGAAAAGCAGGCCGCTCTTCAGCCGCAAAGAAAGTTCTTCCTGCAATGATCTATTCCTTGGGTGAATGTAGTACTTGGCGCACACGAAGGAGCCCGCTATGTGGACGGCACACAGTACGAACAGCGACAAAGCGATGGCGATGTGGAGCGCTGAGTCGCCGTTCTCGCGAGGAAACGTCCCCCACAGCAGCAAAATGAAGCCCTTCAGCGCCAGGAAAATAGCTATTAGACAGCCGAAACTCCGAACAGGCCTTGGCAAACCTGCCCGGTAAAGGCGAAACTGCAGCAGGGCACTTGCAATCAAGAAGGGAAACTCCAGCCAGCAGGCCCAGGCCCAAAGTTTGTGCTGCGACTTTGCCGCCGCCGACGTGGAGGGGAAAATGTTGAAGGCATGGCAGGTAGAATACGTGGTCGCTTCAAAATCTGTTGCAATGGCCATCACTAGGTTGAAGACCATGCAAATGGGCACCTGCATAAGTCCCAGCCCCAAAACTGGACCCATCGGAACTCGAAAACTCCGGCGAGGCCGTAAGTCCATGATTGAACTGGGCAACAGCTTGGATTGATCGTCGACGTAGTCCTTCATATTAATGAAATCAAATCCTCTTTGGCAAAAAATTTATTTGCTTCTATTGACACTTGGCAGCCACTTCCGAATTGACAAATTTCCCAAAGTTATAAATTAAATTCATTTTGATTTTGTAAGAAATTTCTCTAGACATGCAAGTTGAAAAATAAGTTCGAAACCATGAAATTTAAATGTATAATTTACAAATTGATCGCAATTAATATAAATACAATTGTATGCTAACAAAATACTATAACCATCAAGCCACTTTCAAATTGTCTTGTGACAAAACAACCTTCCCAAAGCATCTTCTTAACTTAGCGCGTGTATAAATATTGCATTACATAATCGCGGAACTCGGTTCGAATTACACTAATTTTTCAGACACTTTTTAAGCTTATAATATTTTGGAACCACATAATAAAATCGTGTTGGGGCCTTAACTAAAAGCGTGTGTATGCATTAGATCGTTTCATACTGAATCGATTTCTCTCGGAATCCCTCAAAGAAGTTTCCTTTGGTAAAATTAAGTAAACTTTGAGCTTAAGCTAACACCGCGTTTGTACAGAATACTCGAGGACGACTGGCTGGATGATAAAGCGGCTCTGGCTGGGATTGACCTCCCCTTTGATCTAGAACTGTGATAGGTAAAGGCCATGCTTGGCATCACACACAACGTTGAGGGCGTAAAAGTCCCAGTAGGCGGTCATGTGGAAGCCCATGTTGGTCAGCACCACGATGTACTCGAACAACGCGAAGAAGGTATAAACTGCGGACATTAAAATTAACAGATATACGAATTAAATCGAATATAAAGTGTTTAAGGCACTAAATCCAAATCAAGGGTATCCTAAAATCTTCTTACTCACCTCCCGCCTCACAGTGTGAATTGTGCCGGACAAAACAGTATCCTGCCAATCCGAAGGCCACGACATTCACCAAAAACAGGTTCCGCTTGTATCTCAAAGACTTTTCCTCGTGGGGCAGGAGCACGGTTTTTCGGATGTTCCTGTTCAGCAGGTAAGAAACCAACATGTAGCACTCAGAGCAGGCGATAAATACCACAAAGGCGTTTCTGTGGGTCTCATAGTGATCCGCAGAGGTCCAGAAGGAAAGACAAAACAGCGCGAAGTCCTCCACCACATTGAGGAAACAGGCTAGGATTCCCAGCAGCCTTCTGCTTCTGCGGATGTGTTCCCTGTAGTGTTCCAAGTAGATTTTGGCCACCGCAAGCCGCAGTGGCAAATGCAAGAAAATGGCCAGTCGCCAGACGGTTTTTTGGGGCTCATAGTTTCCGATGGCCGCGGAAACGGAGGGCAGGTAGTTGGTCACATCGCAGTGGGTGTAGGTGCTCCTAACGAAGTCAAAGCTCAGTGACCAAACCACGCAGAAGAAGAATCCACCGAGGGGCAAGCTCAGAGCCAGCAGAGCCAACCTGGCGAAGGAAAGCCGGAAGAAGACGTTTTTGGGATCGCTCAAACGCTCGTATGTGGGCAGCATTTGGCCTTAGGAGTGGGTGGGCGCTGTGGGTGCTTGGTTGGGTGGTTCCTTTAGCGGCACAAGCTTAGCATTTTCAGTTCCTCGCTCCTGAATTTACAAACTTCGGTTTTTACGCGGATTGCTTACGTTGGAAACATTGCGAAAAGGTTGTAAACAAGTGATCGATACCAGCTGACTATCGACCGAAGGCGGGGGTGGTTTTTCGCGCTTCCCTAAACCCAGCGTTTTAAAATAAATAACATTTCATACGGTCTTATATAATGATAACTGTGGTAATTGATTAGTTCAATAAAGACAACCGGTCTTATCATTAATACTAACTGGTCGGATACTTAATTTCATTGCCATAAAATAACCGCCATCAGTGCTGACTCAACGTTAAAAAGCCAAACAAAAAACAGCTTGAAAACTGTATAAACCAAACATCTGGCAATAAAAAGCCAGCATAGTCACTGCCACCCGACAAGCAATCTTTTTCGATAGTTTTTCGCCGGCTTCGTGCCATCTCTATCAGCACTGAAACAAAACACGCGCAAAAAATAGAAACTGTATTGTTTATTTGATTTGTTAGCACACGAGAGTCCCTAAATCCTGCAGAGATGGACATCCTTTTGGCCAACGTGAGCGGACTGCAGTTTAAGGCGGAACGCGACCTCATCGAGCAGGTGGGCGCCATCCCACTGCCCTTTTACGGAATGGACAAGTCCATTGCGGCGGTCTGCAACTTCATCACACGGAATGGCCAGGAGTGCGACAAGGGAAGTGCCTGTCCGTTCCGACACATCCGCGGGGACAGGACTATCGTATGCAAGCACTGGTTGCGAGGCCTGTGCAAAAAGGGCGACCAGTGCGAGTTCCTCCACGAGTACGACATGACAAAGATGCCCGAGTGCTACTTCTACTCGAGATTCAACGCCTGCCACAATAAGGAGTGCCCTTTCCTCCACATCGATCCGCAGAGTAAGGTCAAGGACTGTCCCTGGTACAAAAGAGGCTTCTGCCGTCACGGGCCCCACTGCAGGCACCAGCACCTCCGGCGGGTCCTCTGCATGGACTACTTGGCGGGCTTCTGTCCCGAAGGACCGGCCTGCAAGCACATGCATCCCCACTTTGAGCTCCCTCCGCTGGCAGAACTGGGTAAGGACCAGCTCCACAAGAAGCTGCCCACGTGCCACTATTGCGGTGAGCTGGGCCACAAGGCTAACTCTTGCAAGCAATACGTTGGCAGTCTGGAGCACCGTAACAACATCAACGCGATGGACCACTCGGGACACTCTGGAGGCCACTCTGGCGGGCACCCAGGCTACTCCGAACACTCGGGACACTCCGAGGGCAATGAGGACAACTCCACCAGACACCACAGTCAGTCACATGGACCCGGCTTCGTCAAGGTGCCCACGCCGCTAGAGGAGATCACATGCTACAAATGTGGGCACAAGGGACACTACGCCAACAAGTGTCCCAAGGGCCATCTCGCCTTCCTCTCCAACCAGCATAGTCATAAGTAGAGTATTCTGCTCTGTACGGTTAAATGTAAGATTGCACGGGATGTAGATTGCCGAAATAAAGGTCGAATCGGGTTCCTCTGGCTTACACACGCCCAGGGAGCTGATGATCCCAACTGCCGCAGGGAAGCCGATTGTATTTCCATTGACCATTTCGCGTTTGAAAAGAATGCCCTGGAAATGTCTCGTTACTGCCAGTAAATTGTATTTTGTTATCAACGAAATAAACTCTTCCATAGATATCAAAGTGTTTTCATCAGTTTTATATCTAACTTCGGAGAGGAAACTTTTTTTGGAAGTCAATTAAATGAACCGTTTCATCGAAAGGAACGAAATAAACAAGCAACTATGTAACTAATCACGATTTAAATGCTAGGCGCTCTTGTCATCTATCCGAGTTTCCAACCTGTCCGTGGTGGCCCGTTTGAGGTATATTTTCTTGGCATCAACGGTACATAAGATAACGGCTAAGCAGCGGCCACACTGTCTGGATCGAGTTTTCTACTCGTCAACAATTGCGCACTAAATTTTCCGTAAAAACAAACACCATCGGCCGTTCGGAGGCATCGAAAAAACAGAATATAGCAGAGCAGCCATGACAATTCTGGGAAAACTGCGGGGGGAGATCAAGGATCAGGAGAAGGTGCCCCTGCCAATGAACCTCAACGACGAGGCGCTGATGCACCATGGTTCTTTAATCGCAGTGAGTTTTTCATCCCAGAACAGATTTGGCCTTCTTGTTTTTGCGCAACCGTTTTGCGAATGCTGTCCTTGCGACACTCCGTGTCCACCCCTTGTCCTTCGTCCTTCGGCCCCCGAGAGCCACAAGTTTCGCGAGAGGGTGGGTAGTGGATTGTCGTTTGGCTCCGAATCGGAATCCGAATTTACAGCCTCAGCAGCGCAGCTCGCCCTGCAGGCCATCGATTTTTCCCCGCTGGAATTTCCGCACTCCTTGATGTCCTTGTTCACCCCTGCCACCCTCCTCCGCAAATGACGTGTGCCCATTCGCTTTCCTGGGCTTCCCCGCCAAGGACTCGGGCCCCTCTCGGACGACGAGGGCCTCTTCCTGTTGCTGGTGCAGATTGGCCCTGACAGCGGGGGAAACCCAATTTCGGTTCCATTTCCAGCTCTTTGTGCGCTCGCTTTGCTCTTTGGCCCCGCACAGTGACCTCGATAAGTGTGCGAACGTGGAGAATAATATCCAAAGAAAGTCGTGTCTTATCAGGTGGCAGTTATAAGCAGATTGGTGCTCAAAGTTCTTAACATATTCTGTTATTTCAATTATGCAGAGACTGCAATCACTTAGCTTTTAAACTACGAAATGGATGTTATAATCTTTAAAAAAAAACCTTCAGAATTCTAGAAAAAGATAATTTATCACAAAATTGTATTAATTTTAATTTGTTGTATTTGGCAATATGATTTTGTCGAATTTTCCTGCGTGTGCTTTTAATTTGTTCTTAAGGGATCGAATTACGTTGACTTAGGACTGGCATAAAAAATTGAACCTCTGAGTCAACAGCTCCCCCTTTTTTTTATTTCGACTTATCGTTGTTTTTATGACAGTTGCAATGGGAACAATAATCATACATATAAGTTGATAAGGGGAAAAAAATAAAACAACCCAAACAGCGTAATTAACCTAAACTAGTTTTCCTGTATTGAGGATAGATATCCCAAAATACAGTTCCAACCTCTCTAAATATCTTCCAAATTTTCTACTTTTCGTTGTTTGCAAACCCATAAGATATAAATGTATTCATTGTTTAATTTCTTCCCGCAGCCAAAGGTCGCTTACAGCGATAATGAAGCCGACGCGGAATCGATGGTCTTCAACCGACCGCAGCACCATTGCATCAAGTCCTTTCTGCTGTTCCTGATCGCCGTGGTCGTGATGCTCCTCGGAGTCCTGGGAGGATGGACCCTGTACCGCCTGTATGCTCCTTCGCATGCCAGCATGAGGTACCACGCACTGTGCGAGATCCCCTATCCGGAGGACTCGATGGAGATGGCGCGGGTGTATCCCCGTTCCGAAGGACCTTTCGCCCTAAACTGGCGCTCGTTGCTGCCTGAGTTCGGACCACTGATGCCGAACAGCGGATCCCTCGACGAGAACTACTTCCGCGAGGACATCGAATTGGATGGCGACAGCGACGAGGAGGGATTCGCCCGGGTGGATGTTCCTGACTTCAAGGACGGACGACGGGGCCGCTTCATGCACGATTTCAAGGAGAACCAGTCGGCGATCATCGACACCACCACTGGCCGGTGCTTCATCATGCCCTTGGACCGGGACACGACCCTACCGCCGACCAGCTTTGTAGACCTCATGAAGAAGATGAGCATAGGCTACTACAACATCGACACGGAGCGCGTGCGGCGACAGATGCGCGTGGTAACGCCCCGCATCACTGATCTCTCGCTCATCTCCGAGCGAATCGCTAATGAGTGCTACGACATGAAGGTCTACATGATGGAGAAGTTCGTCTCGGGCGGTAGGTTACCATATGATTTCTTTTGTTCCCCTATTAATTGCATTGCCTTTGCAGTTTCCAAGAGATCGGCCGATCCTTTGCCCGATTCCGGCAAGTACGCGGAGTTCATGGGCAAGGGCGTCATTGAGTACGACTTGGCCAACATCGCCGAGGTGGAGGCCTACGAGGCTAACGAGGCAAAGCAACGGGCCTGAGCATCCCGAGGGCTCCTAGCTGCGATGTCTGGAGGAGGATCTTTTAAGCTACAACACCCCATATGAATACACAACCTAAACAAATTATTAACTAGAATCGATTTATACATATAGCGAAGCGAAGCGAGGAGATCTGTTCGAGGAGCCATGCCTAGAAGTCTAAATCTGGTTTACCACTGGTTAGCAGTACACACACCCAGTTCGGGTGGATATATCAACTTCGGCCAACTGAGTTTTGCGAATCATAGACCCTAGTGAAGAAGCGTAACGAAAATGTACCTAGAACGCAATCAAAAGCGATCGACGAAATTGTGACAAATACGAGCAATGTATTAGCCTCGAGTGTGGAGTAAAAACGGAAGGGATTGGATCAGATTGGAGATCGGTACATCACACACAGACACACTGCATTCCAAGTACATATTTTATATATATGCTCTTTAACTACTCTAAAAATTAATGTATAGACCGGATTCAAATCGAAGCTATTTACATGCAAACCAAAACCAACCAGAAATCCGAAAAAGGAACGGAAACTATCAGCATGCGTCGAAACACAGAGAAAAATTAATCTAAATGTTCTTTAAACTACTTAATGTATTAAACGCGAATTTGTGATCTTTAGTCGTTTTCTTTTTAATGGCTGGGGAACCCGAATAATAACATTTTGGACTAGAATATATATTTTATCTAGCTTAATATAATATCCACTTAAAACAGATAACTTCACCTAAATACATTTTTTACTTAGACTAGAAATACGACTTGCATAGGGCGATGGTGTGATCCACTCCGAAAGCCACTTTGGTAACCTTTCCATTGATGGCCGCTTTAAAAGGGAAGAACTGATCCTTTTTGTGCCCTAGGCCCAAATGTCCGAATCGGTTCTTGCCCCACATGAAAAGATCTCCGTCTGAGTTTACGGCGCCCATGTGAAATACACCGCACCCGATGGAAACCACGGTGGTTTCGTTGCTGAAGTCGTTCCGACCGAAAAGAGGAGGCAAAAGGTGCTGTGGCTTAGATGTTTGCTCCACAAATGGTCCAAAGCCGAGAATGCCAAAGCCCCAGGTGTAAACCAGGCCCTGATCATTGAGAGCCATGCAAAATGAGCCTCCCGCCGCAACGTCCTTGATCTTGCCAATTCCTTTGGTTAGTTTGAGAGCTCTAGGCGTATTGATTTGGGTTTCCGCGTGTTCGGAGTCATCCAGCTGTCCGTACTCTGAGTTGCCCCAACCAAAGGCATCACCTGATTCGTTGAGGGCTAAAACGCAGTCCGAGGAGCAGCTGAGCTTCACAATCTTCTCCTTTTCTATATCACCTCCAATTAGGGTTATTTGTCCGGCGGTATGGTAGTTTCCCTGGCCCGTTTGACCGTCGGCGCCCCAGCCACATGTGTAAATCCTTCCCTTTTTGGACAAGAACATGCTATGATCCTGGCCACACTCTACGTGGACTATCTCATCCTCTTTACCGCATATATCCTCCTGGGCAATCCTGTGGATCAAGGCACTCTTGCTGTATCTTTCTTCCTCGATGATGGAACGCCCACACTGCCCGTAGGAATTGTTGCCCAAAGTGAAGATGGTTCCATTTCGGGTCAGCACCACCAGGTGAGCCCTTCCCGCGGAAATGCTCTTCACCTGCATGTCCTCATCGGTTTCTCCCTGGATTCTAGGTAGTTTTATGGCCGTGGGGTAGATGATCACATCCAGGTTGGCTGGATCTTTGGGATTTCCTTTCACTTGGAACCCGAGTTGCGAGTCCGTATTTAAACCACTGCCGAATAGCGTTTCTCCATCTTCTCTTCTCACAGCGTAGGCTGTAAATCCGTAGCCAGCAGCCACATCCGTAATGTCGTTATTGTTGGAGAACTGCAGCCTGGTGGGATGATGAACCATCTCCGTGTAGCGTTCCTTGGCTTTCTTTACATTGGTTTGCAGACCCAGAGCTCCAGTCTCCTGGAATCCCCACACATAAACGCGGTGCTCATGGCTGTCCGTAGTTTTTGGGGTATACTCCTTGATCTTCGACTTGTCCTGGGCCAACACACTCCTCTTGGCCTTGGCAGTATAGGATCTGGAAATCCACAGCCCGACTCTGCCGGTTTTCAGCATGGTATTACGGGTGCACTGCAATCAAAACAAACAATGTTCGCCAACCTGGAAACTCTGGTGCCACAATTAGCGATGTCAAGCAATCGATATTTTTTTGCTAAATATTTTTTTTCATAAAATCCCCATTTTTTAACTTGTCAACGCATGGGGTACATATACGCATATAGAAAATATAAATGTAAAGGTAAAGCCAGCCCAAGGAGGATGTAGGATGCATTCTATAACCGCCATTAGAACTCGTTGCCCAAGAGGAACTGTGCTGGATTTCCCACCAAACCAGACTTACTTCAGCTTGCCGAAAAAATATCAACTAAAGTCCATCAAACATTCAGATATTTTTCGAAATTATATCTCGATATAACCATTTATTATATTCGATAATATATCGATATATATGTAAATTATTGTTTTACCCATCCTTAACAACAATCCTACTAATCGTTATCGCCTTATGCATATCGAAATCGGACGTGAAAGAAACGGCTCCATAGAAGTAATATATAAAAAACTCTGCAAACACTTCGGGTATTAGCAATTATTTGTAATTAACGCGTGCGGTATTCAGTGGCCTGGGAAATAGTTGTTTTTCCACGATTACTGTGTTTTTCCAACCGCCGCAGCAGCATATGTACACACACATACTCGCGCACCCCCCGCCCCACACACACACACGGATAGGTGTATTATAATTAAAGTTGTGCTTTTAAGTGTGTGTAAAGTGCAATAGCCCAGTGAAAAGTGGAAGTGAAATAGTGCGTTCCAGGAGCTCCAGGAGTTAGTGTCAACCCATGTCTTCCCGTTCGCCAGTGGCTTTTCGAAGGGCTGGGGCTAAGGGTTAAGGGCTGAGGATACGGACTCGGACTCGCCGGATAGCGGATAAGGATACGGATAAGGAGTGCCAGGCGGAGATTTAGATTCGGGAGGAACAAGGAGTTGCCAATCGCTTCGTCTCCGGTAGGTACACACAAAAATTCGGCTGCTCCTTTTTAGCTCTTGTTTGTGCGACTCTCTCTCGGTTCTCTCTCGTCCTGCGCTCTCTCTCTCTCTCGCCACCTGGTGGTGCAAAGTCCTTTGGCCACCACCCTCAGTGGGTGGTACAACCCTTAACCCTCGGCTTCCCATCACCTTTTTTGGGTAACCATGGTCGTGTGTTTTCAGTTAACTGTGCCACGAAATGCCAGTGTTGTGGAGTCGATAAAATCTTGTACCTAAGGAAAGCACCTGGTTCTTTTTGTCTCGATGATAGGTTCTATCATACATACGCTCAGTTAGTCTTCACCTAACATTATTCAGATATTCGAACGAAGGGAGGAATTTAGACAACTTTTGGATAGATTAGCCTTGTACCTGGATACAAAAAGAGAGTATATTTCTCAACACTGGACAGGAGATTACTCCCTTCGCAGGACATCACGCCCACCCTCTCGCTGCTAAAAAGCCACCACTCGCAGTGATTTTGCGCAGCAACTCTGGCCGGCAAAAGTCGCAAACTCCCTCGGCAACAATCCCAAAATACAAAAAACAATACCGAACCGAACCCAAAACGCCATTCGAATCCCATTCCCTAGCGAAAGCATCTACTTAATCAACATGGGAATGGAGTTGCGGAGCACACTGAATGAGTGATCTTATGTAAACAGCCTGCCCTCTGCCTCCCACGACTCCAGATAAGACCATTTCGTATATGTAGGTGCCCCACTTTCAGTTCCCCCGAAAAGTTTACCCCCTCGCAACCAAGTCGTAACTCAGTGTTATAGACCCAAATGCTCCCATTTTGGGGGCCACCAATTTGCTTGTGATTGTTTTCGGGGGCCGCAACGCGTGCATAGTAGCTACTCCCTCCATCTGGAACCGATCTTCGGCCACTCCAGAGGCATACAATTATAAAACAGAGGGGAGAGAAAACTTTCCGCCTCATAAACTTGAAGGCTTGTCCCCCAAGCACGTGCAACTTTTTTCTTCGGCGATTTCCTCTTTCTCTGAATAAAAAGACGAAATGTTGTCAAGAAAACAATGTAGGAGTGCACACAAAAAAATATGTACATGTTATTAAAGCCATCATAACAATGCTGATAAATAAATTAATATAATTTGTTTGTCAAAGTAAATATAAATCAGGAGAACCTAATCTTTAGTTGTATACTTGTTAGTTTCAAAAATATGATAAAAGAAAAGTCTAATGCCATCTGATATTTATTTCCTTTTACCTAGAGTAACCCCTAAACCTTATCACTTGTTTTCCAAAGCAACAATCACAGGTACAACAAAAAAGATAAAAGACCACCAGAATTCGCTGTTCTTTATCACCAGTGTAATGTCAATGTCTTGGCAGCTTGGGCTTATGCAAGCGCAAACAATAACAAAACAATTGCCAAGCCAAAGAAAATCCAAATCCAACGGTGGTGCATTTCAGTTCATTGGCAGCCAGCCAGCCAAGCGATTCATGTTTACCAAGGCCCTCGTCCGCCCCCTTATCACTCTAGCATTTGCACAAACATAATCTTTTTTGGGTTCTTTCTCCGTTGCTATCTGGGTTCGGTTACGGTTTCGCTCCCCGCTTTCTCCGCTCAAAAAAAAGGAAAACACAAACAATAGCAGGCAGTGAATCACTTGTGACCAGTTATTCACTTCCACTAAACAGGGAATTTTTCCCTCTCCGAAAACCTTTGACTAATCGATGGTAAATAAACAAATACTTATTTCATAATAAAGTAGTGAGGCAACAATTTCAACAGGAAGCTAACTAAATGCCTTACTAGAATTTATACCAGGTTGATTTAAAGGAGGAAAATCTGTTTGCCGAGTATGATCTAACATCTTTCCGTTGCCATAGAAAAGTGAAACCAATAACGGCTTTAGTCAAGACCCAGAATAGCAATATCTCAGCTTGGCAGACACTTATTGATTTTTAATTATCCCAAGATGGCCCTCGGCTGTGGCATTGACTTTGATTTTGCTGGCTTGCCAACCTGGCCAACGAACTCGCGAGCATCTCGACTGAGCGTGGTCCGAACAGCCTTCTTTGCCGCCCGCTTAAGTGCCTTATGTCACTCGATAAATCTCGGCCGAGAAACCTATTTCCCAATACCGCCACCAATTCCCGTTCGTGACTCATTGCGGTCGAATGGTTGGTTGCTGTATGTGTCTTTCTGGGCTCAAAGTGTCTGAGTTTTCGAGTCTGTTGCTTGGGTTTTCTCGGGTTCTGCAACCTCCGTAAACAAATCAATAGCCGATGGCCACTCGTTCGCTCGCCTGGCAATTGGATTCAATTGAGTGGAGTCAGGCAGCGGCAACTTTCACTTGCACAGATTTTAATTGCCCGCAACTGGAATGGCCAGATCCCCCGACCGACCGAATCCCGCTCCCGCTCCCCCTCCAAGCCGTCATTGTTCATACAAGCAGTCCACTCATTATTCATCTTCATCGCCGGCTCGCTGACCCCAAAAACAAACATTCATCTCTCGGCTAATTTTTGAGTTGGTTTCCTATTTGGTATTCGTATTCGTATTCGTATTTGAGTATATTTGCATTGTGTTTCTTAAGCTAATCATTTTCACGCTTCTTGGCTTCTTCAGTGCTAAACAATTAAACCTAATTTGCACATATCATTTCGCTCTCTTTTTCTTTCATACTTTGATTCATTTTGCGTTATTGCGTTCGCTTATGTTTACGTTTGCCACGCCTACGCTCACGCTCACGCCTCCGCCCCCGACCACGCCCTCCCAGCAATTATGCATTGGCCGGAGGCTGCCTGCAGCAAGCTTAGAGTGGCCGCCAGCAACTGCCACACATAACCTGACCCATCAACAACATCTTGATCAACTCCAAGCCCACAAGTCCACTGCCCCCATACTGAGCCACCGCCTCTTGCCTCCAGGAGCAGCCGCAGGAGCACAGGAGCAGTCCCAGCTGGAGGAGCAGGAATCCCCCCGCGGCGGAGGAGCAGCCAGTCTGGAATGTTGGAACACCCCCAGCGGTTCGTGCGCAACATCCCCGACTCCTCAGCCAGTTCGCAGCAGTATCCGCAGCAGCATTCGCAGCAGCACCCGCCGCAGCTGCCGCAGCACCAGAATCTGAGTTTGAACCCCAACCAGAACCAGATCTACCAGTACCGTCCCCAGGTGCCCCTGCCAGGATCGCCTGCCCACCACCAGCGGCACTCGTCGCTCTCCCAGCAGCAGCAGCAGCAGCAGCACCAACAACAACAGCAACAGCAGCTGCACCACCACCGCACCCTGTCCACCGCCTCCTCCTGCAGCGCCCAGCACAAAAGTGTGACCTTCGGCCAGCCAGCGCTCGACTGCGGCGGCAACGGCAGCGGCAGCGCCAACGGAAGCGGTAGCGGCAACTCCTCCAGTGGCAGTGCCGCCGGCAACGCTGGAACCCAACCAATGGCGGGCAACATGAAGCACGGTAAGCAAGGGGCTAATCGGGCTTACCATCTTTGCATAACTTGTACGAAGACTATTAATAAAGGGCATTATTTCCCAAGATGTTTGTGAGCGATTGCAGTCATCTTGGGAGTAAGAGCACCACTAACAAAATACAAGTTTAAAGATCTTCCTCTTTTGTACTTCTCTCAGAATTGAACCCGACTAATGCTCACCCCACCTCCAATTCCCAGGCAAATCTCAGGAAGACGTCTGCTACGTGGTAGCCAAGTACGACTATGCGGCGCAGGGGGCCCAGGAGCTGGATCTGCGCAAGAACGAGCGCTACCTGCTGCTGGACGACTCGAAGCACTGGTGGCGCGTCCAGAACAGCCGAAACCAGTCCGGCTACGTGCCAAGCAACTATGTGAAGAAGGAGAAGCCCTCGCTCTTCGACAGGTGCGTCAGGTTCCTGGCCCACTAAACCTAAGCGTTCTTCTTGCTCTGATTTCAGCAGAATAAGCCCTCTCTTTCTGTATCTCTAGCCGTATCCGTATCCGTAGATGTATCTGTATCGCGCTCGAACTCCCATTCCCGCCTCCTCAATTTGCTTTGGTTGTTGTAATTTAACCTTTAACTGCTTTCGGCTTTTGTACTTTGAATTTTGAGACAACAAATTCGTTTTAATTTCGTTTTCTGTCGAGCCCCGTGCCCCTGCCCCTGAAAACTTAGAGCACCACTAACACCTAACCAAAGTAGGGCTAGTCTATCCCACCTGAAAATCCCGCAAAAAAGCTTCCTTCTAAGCCGTCTAATCCAATCTCTATCTGGTTTCCCTTGTGCAGCATCAAGAAGAAGGTGAAAAAGGGCTCCGGATCAAAGACGCTGCCCAACTGCTCTCCCTCGCGCCAAATTGAGAGTCCAACCATGTCGCGCCGACTGCCACCCGATCCCGCCGAGGCCATCGGCTCGGCTGTGGTCAAGTACAACTACCAGGCCCAGCAGCCCGACGAACTCTCCTTGACCAAGGGCACGCGCATCCTCATCCTGGAGAAGTCCAACGACGGCTGGTGGCGCGGGCAGAGCGGCAACTCCGTCGGCTGGTTCCCCAGCAACTACACTACGGAGGATTGTGATAACGACGGCGAGATCCACACCTACGCCATGGCCGAGAACGTGCTCGACATTGTGGTGAGTGTGAACAGAAGAGAAAGCCAGAGTCTCGAGATTCATGGGTTGCTAATGATATCATTGTATGGATATTAGGTCGCCCTGTACAGCTTCACGTCAAACAACGACCAGGAGCTGTCGTTCGAGAAGGGCGATCGACTGGAGATTGTGGATCGGCCGGCCTCCGATCCGGACTGGTACAAAGCTCGCAACAACCAGGGCCAAGTCGGTTTAGTTCCACGCAATTATCTCCAAGAGTTGAACGACTACCTGGCCACGCCCTATCGCAACACGAGTGCCAGCGCCGGAAACGGGAACGGAGGGAGCAACGGCGGCGCAGGAGGAGGCGGCGGCGGAAGTGACTCGATGGAGCGCCGCAACGAGGGCAACAAGCCTCCGGCTCAATCCTCGGGCCAGCCGATCGAACGGCCCAATTTGGCGGGCAAGTCGTGGTACTACGGAGCCATCACCCGAAGCCAATGCGACACGGTGCTCAACGGGCACGGGCACGATGGCGATTTCCTCATCAGAGACAGTGAGACTAACGTGAGTGGAATCCCAAACTGAACTGCTGCCACAATATGTAGCAGCAGTCGTAAATGGTAAACAAGAAGACAACACAACTAATATTACACCTGTTTCCGCAGATGGGCGACTACTCGGTTTCGTTGAAGGCACCCGGACGCAACAAGCACTTCCGCGTGCACGTGGAGCAGAACATGTACTGCATCGGGCAGCGAAAGTTCCACTCGCTGGACCAACTGGTCGACCACTACCAAAGAGCGCCCATCTACACGAATAAGCAGGGCGAAAAGCTGTATCTGGTGCGGTCGCTGCCGAAGGCCAATGGCACGTAAACAGGATCCAGGATCAGTGCGCCGGAATCTCAGCACCCATATTACCCGTATTCAAGCAACACACATATGCAACACAAAGATATACCAAGGCTAACTTGTAGGCAGCTCAGCTCAGCGCGACGTGTAGTTCAATGTAGTTCGGTTCAGATATTCGGTTATCAACTCGGTTTTGGATTTGGATTAGATCAGACCAGCGAGTGTATATAGATCGGTTGGTTCAACGCGACCCGTACATATAGCCACGGAGAAAGGACCTTTTTGTACTTTTATATAATTGAATTAACTAAATTACCGCTTGATTATCGCATTGGCAATGTTAACGAGTAACAAATAACTAAATAACTCATCGCATTCGATTCGATTTGAGCAATTCTAGATGTCAACATGCAATACATTTACATATTTACATACCATACATGTGCACATATTATACTATATTCTAAAGCAAAGTTGTAGCAGACTTATAATGTACACAGAGAAAAGAGGCCGCTTTTAATCAGAACACTCGAACATGTAATATGATATTCGATATGATGTCTATTATCCATGCGTTATCCATAAGCATACTGTGTACGACCGTAACCAATCCGCAGAGATATCGACTTCGTACATGTATATACATAGATGAGACATCCTGATCCTGGATCCAGGACACTCAACCAACCACACAGCCAGAGTGAGGAATACGCTCCTACAGTCATTTTTGTTATTTATAAATTTAATTATCGACTACGATATAACCCCGCAAAACAAATACAATTGATATCTCCGGGCTGACTCTGCCCCTGCATAATTATAAACATAATCTAATCGTTTGCTGGCGAGGAGAAGGTGGAGACTTGGAGACGGCGACTTATACGCGTATAAGCCATACTGTACAGTTGATGCAATGCTAACCTAGGCACTCTTTCATCTCTAGATATACGAGTACTCTTATTTACGACTACGACAGTAGAACGCAGCGATTCCAGCTTTAATCTTTGTTTTTAGTCATTGCTATTATTTGTTTTCCTACGTTTACGATTTATTATTACCTTAACGATTATTATTTTGTTTTTATTTAGCTCTAGGAAAGTAATAAGCGAAGGATCGAAGCGATAGGAGGAGTGGCTGCCAGTTAAATGACTTTCTTTCATACGCGAATTTTTAAATTATAAACCTATATTATACGAGTACGTAATATAAAACTTAAATAATTTATAGTAATTTAAACAATTGCTAAACCAACTAGTACTAAAGACGAAGAGAACAAACTAGAAATTATACCGAAACGGAAATGAATAAAAATACATTCAAATAAAACATAACACGCCCGATATTTGTCACTCACCTTCTTGGAAATCTTGAGCTCTCTTGAAAAGTTCTTGAACTACTTTTGCATACTTTTTGGAATTTTCTTGATCGCAAAATAGATATTTTCATTTTCTTGATTTTTGACAACCACAATTTCCAGGGAAAATCTTGCCGCGAGTCTTAATTAAATTTGATCTTCGATTCAATTCTTTTCACTTAGCCCATTTTCATAGCGACGAGACACGAATTCCTAAAAGTATGCCAATAAGTTTAATGATTGTACTTTCAGAATGTTTCAACTAAAAATACTACAACAGTCACGGGGAAAACTACGGGGGAATCGAAAGTAAACAAGTATAGCGTTCTTATTTGTTTTTATTGAAATTTCGTAGTTTAAATAACTTTAAGGCTTCGATAATGTTTGACACGTTAAGGCTAAAAATGGAAAAATTCTTGCTTCTTATCTGGACATGGACATGTGAACGGTGAATTGAGTCATGTTCCTGGGTTCGACCGATGGGTTGGGACTGGTGTTAATGGAGGTATTACACAGGGCTTACAATCAGACAGAATATGTACAAATGTCTGCCGTGGGTGCAACCAAAAGGTTCGACTCGCGAGTTGAGCAATTTATCTGCACGCCCGATATCGCACGTACTAAAAGATGAATTAGCACACGGAAAGCAGACGATTAGCAGTGAGAACAAGAAGCAATTCATTAGGTACAAAAGCATATTTGTATATATCTGTATCTGTATCTGTATCCGTATATATATAGTAGTACGTTATAATATATAGTTTATAATCTTATTAAGGCCACACAATCAATAACTGACAGAGTTCTTATCCGCAAAAGAAAGTGCTAAATGGGACAAGACAAATACGAGGACAGACAAAACAAGTAACACATGTATAACCTGGCCCAACCGCATCCTCCACAAGGATCAGGATTAGTAGCTATGTTAGTCAGTGGATGATGTGGATGTGTTCATGGGCGCTTAGTACAAGTAGAGAGTTCTAGGGGCAAACGGCAAATACAAATATCCGTATCCGTTAACGTTAACGTTAGAATAGAGTTACCATGTAAAAGAATATATCAACGCCCCGACCCGCTGCCTCCGACAGGATTAGCGTCATCTCGGGGTGTACATATTTGAGCTATGTACACAGGGGTGCTCTCCGGCGTGTATTATGTATATATAGATTAACGCTACTGTTCGTAAAATGGACTAATTTCGCTTCGCTTCCTCAGCTCTCCGTCTTCGCTCGCTCTTTGTTCGCTGGCTCAGCGCCTCTGCCAAGTGGCGAGTGGCGGACTCTTCCCGGTCGCGTCTCATAAGAACGGGTTGTTGGTGTTCACGGCGCCGCTGGCCTGTGGATATAAGTGAAGAGAGGGAGTCGTTAGCAAACACGGGTCCAGACCTAACCAGTCCTGGCCGGAAACCCGCCGCTCGTCTGGATTTAGCATGGCAAGGAATCGTGTGAAACCGAGTGACACGCAAGCGGTCGCTTGTTTGCTCGATTAATATTTATTAAAGAAAATTACGCGGCTGTGTGATATTGTTTATCGCCGTGATTCGAATCTCGTTTCACCTTACGATTGCCAATTCACCTACTTAATCCAGAAGCCACGGGTACCACGGGTACCTTCATTCCTATACTCACAGCAAAGGGGTTGTTGGCCATCACTGGAGCGGGTTGCATGCTTCCGAACCCACAGCCGTTGGGCAAACCTTGTGGCAGGGCGAACCCGTTGTTGTTGAAGTTGAAGAAGCTCTGTTGCTGCTGCTGCTGCTGCAGCTGCTGCTGGTGCTGGAGGAGGTGGTGCCCCATCTGCTGCTGAGGACTGCTGCCGTAGGCATTTGGTATGAGCGTCAACTGGCCATAGAGATTCTGGTGCTGATGCTGGTGGTGCTGCTGCTGTTGCTGGAATGGATTCACCACGTGGCTACTGAGCTGCTGCTGTTGCTGGCTCTTGAAGGGATTTGGATTGTTGTTGAGGGCTGGTTGGGGAAAAAAAGGGCCCAATTAGCGATGGCTACAAGGAGGATGGTTCTGAGAAGGACTTCTTACCGCCCCCGAAGGCATCTGCGGCCTGAACGTTGCCGTTGGTGGGCGTGGGCGCCTCCGCGACGGATTCGCTGGCCTTCAGTTCCCTTAGCTGCTCGTCGAGATCTTTGAGAGCAGCATACCGATCCTCGCTGGGCGCCATCGCCGCACTGCCGCTCTTGGGCGGACTTTTCGCATGGCCGTTCTGCAAGGGTGCACCTGCAACGGGGAAAGTCCGGTTAAAAAGATTGTTAAATTAGCCTCTTGAGTTGAAAACCAAACACGAACTAAACACAGCATCAACAAAAAATAACGAGCCAAGTGCAACAGAACTGTAAAACCAAACTCAACGAATTTTAACAACTTACTCCACGTGAACAAGTCATGGAAATTGGCATTTAAGATATTCATCTCTTGATCATCCGCCCGGTCCTCTGGGGAACTGCTCGAGATCGAGCTAAACAACAGATAGGAGAATGAGGAGGGCTGCTCTGGGGAACTCGGACGCTGTTCCTCACTTGACAAGTAGGGCAGGAAGGGATTCGAGGGCGAAAGGGGCGGAGTGCTATGCGTATTGAAAAAGGAGAAGGGCGGCTCCTGCTGTAGCTGTAGCTGATGCTGTTGCGACTCTTGCTCCTGCGCCTCTATTCGCATCTCCTCCTGCCAGAAGTTCCACGCCAGCTCTGGTTCTTCCTGCACGGTTGGCAGTGGTGACGACACTACGGGAGCCGGAGCAGCTGGGGGACTTGAGCCTGGAGGCGATTCATCGCAATCGTCGAAGGGGTCGTGGAAGCCCCGCCTGCTCCAATCGCTGACCCAATCGTGAAAAGTGGTTGGAGCTGGATTCAGCCGAAGAGCGAGAGATTAGAGAGTGGAAACGGACTTCTTGGTGTGGGGTGCCCGAAGTGGGAGGCGAGCAAAGCTGCAGGATCTTACGGAAGCCAAAGCCATTTTGCAATGGTGATTATGGTCAAGCAGCGGGTGCAGGAGCAAAGAAATGTATTTGTTGAATGTACTAAATTGCTGAGTGGTTGATCTATGTTTCAGCACGAGCATACTTTACATTCAGGACCTCCTATTCCGAAATTTATTCAGATCAACTTGAATTCAAATAGTTCATCTTAATCAAATAAAATTTCAATCAAAATTAGTTGAACGAAAGATTCAACAAAAAGGGAACTCAGTTGATGAAATTTGATTGAGTGGAGGGGGAAAAGAACCTATTAAATATATCAACACTTACCCACGGCATTGAAGATGGGTGCGTGATCGAAGTCCGCGAAGTTCGCTGTGCCCTGGTGACCGTTCCCATTGAGGAGCTGCTGCTGTTGTTGCTGCTGCTGCAGGTGAGCTGCCCGCAGCGGCTGCACCTTGGCGTACCCGTTGCTGGACCCCACCGAGGAGACCGAGGACACCGCCGGCGATCCCGTCGAGCGCGCCGATGTGGCATCGAAGATGTTGGCCGAGCCGAAGTCGGCCACGAAGTCGGAGTCCGCTCCGAAGCCGTTGCTGGCGCAGCTGCTGGTGTCCGACAGGGCTCCCGTGGAGGTGGAGCCGGCGCTGTTCAGGCTGCTCAGGCCTCCGCCCAGGCCGAAGGCATCGTTGTTGTTGTTTTGGCTGCTGTGGTGGTGGTGGTGGGGCCGGCTGATCGAGGTTGAGGAGTTGCCGGAGGAGTGGGCGCTGGCCACCTTGTGCAGGCCGTTGGCCGAGGTCCTCTGGGCGGAGGGAGGCGTCAGGTTGATGCTGGCGTACCCGTTGTGGTGGCCGTTCTGGGTGTGACTCGTGGTCGGCGGAGCGGACGACTTGAGGTTGACCGCATTGGCCAGGGACTTGAGCGGGCTGGCCGGCTCCAGGTAGTACCGCTTCCGCTCGTACTTGTCCACCATCAGCTCGCGCTGCTCCTGCTGGAGGACGGCCCGCTTGGGATCCCACAGGCCCAGCCAGGTCTTGGCACACAGCTCGTTGCCGTGGCTGCGCAGGAAGTCGATCTCGTCCTGTGTGAATGTGGCCATCGATATGGATTTCACCCGGTGCGGTGGAGTCAGTCCGCGTCTGAAAAAGTAATAAGAGTCGCTTATTATTTCCTATCGGATGGAAATTATCATTTATCTTAAAACTAGTTCATTTTCAAGTAAGTGTACCCTCATTTGGAGTATTGCTAGGGCCCCCTAATACCCTAATTCCGCAAAGTAGTTGTTCTATTTGGGAAATTGCTCAAGAACTGCCCACTTTGTCAGGTGGCGACGGTGGTGGTTGCTTGACCCACTTGTACCCACCAGAATGACCCGTCAAATGGGCGTTCAATTTCAGTTAATTGCGCAAATTAATTGCGCTGGCCTTGGGGCCCGAAAGCAATTGGAGCACTTTGGAGTGCCCAGAACAGCATGAAAAATGAAACCCATAAAAAACTGAAGAGCCGCTCTGGCTGGTAGAGAGTTTTCCAGCAAATTCGCCCGCCACCGACGGCTAATTTCGGTTTTTCACGAGTTTCCCGAACGAAACGAGTACACACGGGCACCAGCAACAGCTTGGCCACAACATGGCAACAGCAAAATCAGAAAAATCAGAAAAACAGCGCCAAAAGTGGCAAAAGAGAGCCAAATATGCAATGCAGGGGAAGCAGAAACTGGACGTTTCACATGAACGCTTCGCTGGCTCCAGTTGGTTGTCGGTTGTAGGTTGTTGGTAGCTGGTAACTGGTTGTCGTTTGGAAAAAATAAAGAACTTGAGGAGGCTCTAGCGATCAAGAGATACCCAGTTCTCATGACAAGCAAAACGCAAAGAATTCAAAAATGGTTAGGCGGTCTTGTAATCCATAAATTCCAATTAAATGATATATAAGAGTTTTGAATGTTCAACTGTTCGCAACAAATTAAACAAATATTAAAGACTTCTAAATCATTCAGTTCTCCCACTCATAGAGGGTATCGTAGGGTGCCATTAGCAGCAAAAAGTCTAGGGGCTGATGATGACTGGCTAATGGCATTCTCAGTCAATCAAATGACGTCCTTTGTCATCCCATTCCCGACCTTCTAATGCAATCGTGGCTCAAGTTGAGGACGGGAAATGGATGCCCGCGACAAAGAAAAAGCGGAGGAGGAAAGGCGGAAGCCTTTGAGTGTCTTGCCAGAAAACAATCAACTCTCACTTAAGCGGAACTCTTGCGGCGGGGATCGAAGTGTAATGAATGGAGGTGGAGGGAACGGGACTGGAGTGGAGTGACTCCTCCCCCGACGGCTGACCCGTGACCAACGGAGCACGACTGAGCAGCTGAGGACGACTTCCGCCGGAGGCTAAATGATCTGTGAAGCTGCTGCTCCGCGGGGAAAAGCAACAGGAGGTTGGCTGACCTTACACGGCCTGCCAGCCACCTCGAAACAGAAAACCACCGCCACACAGACAGAAAATATAAAGTAGGTATTTATTCTACTAAAACGGCAGTCAGGGTGGGTCGACTTATCCTTTCAAAATACGAAGCTAAGTGCAGGAAAATCGAGTGCATATGAAACACTAAACCAGCGAACAAAAATTGCTTTTAAATTCAGATTTAGCCTTCTTAATTTATGCGGTACTAATCCTATTAAAACATCAACTTGGCATTTGCCGGATTAAGGCAAGCCGTACGTGATGTTTTTCTGTGTGTGCCAATAGCAGCACTCAAGTGGTGCCCAGTTTTCGGAGTGGCCACCAAACCCCCAAGAGCACGCACAGCCAGTTCGTTAGGGGATTCGTGGATGAGGGGGAGGAGGAGGAGGAGGAGAGAGAGGATGCAGTGGCAGAGCAGCTGCAAGTGGCAAAAACGAAGACCAAGACAGAATGGTGCGCCATGTGGCAGTGGCTATTTTTGAAATCCAGCCACACTGCGGAGAAAGTGAAAGTTGCCTCCCCACAAAATGTGGAAACAGTGGCGGCATTGGAGGCACTCACTCCGCCACGCCCACCGTTTATGGCGTGCATTTGAAACGCTTAGTGAAGAGGGGAAACTGGAGGGAGGTAATTGACAATCACAGCCGTAATGACTGCAAATTTCCATGCAGCTGAGGCTTTTGTTAATGCGAAAAAAGCCAACGAGCGAGGCAGCAGCATGTGCTATTCCTCCCCAACTCAATGCGGTTCTGCGAAACAAATCACTTAGAAACTTATCACAAAAGCACTGCGGAAAATGCCAGCTGAATCAATATGTTTGAATAGCGTTTCGGAGGCATATTCGCCACCATATTGCACACAATCAATCATTGGGGGAGAAAATTTAGTATACGATGAGGGGATACATATTGTTAATATAAGCCTGAAACCCGACTTTTCAGCATTGCTAAGAACTATCTAGAACTTCGAAACCTGATTCGGCGACAGCTAATTGTTTAAGCAGGATGCACGAAATGGTTTATCTAGGTCTCAGTTGTCAATTCCCCAGTGCAAACTAAGCCCTCCAAGTGAGTTCAATATTAACAGTGAAATGCTAATTGTCGTACGAAGCGAGCTCAGTACCCCCCTCGGTACATCGGCTTCAGAGGAATTCTCGACAGGCACAGCCACATCTGATGCCGAAGAACGAGAATGGCAGAGAGCCGTGCTAATTGGGAGTCAACAAAGCAGCGCTGAAACTCACAGCTGGAATCGGAAAACTGTGTCACACCTCAGAGGTCATGGCAGGGCAAAGGCCAAAGCATTCCACCCTCCAAGGGAAAAGCTGTGTCGATTTCAAATTTAATTTCAGAAACTATCTCAACTCCATCTGGGGAGAACCTCCAAACATAACATAGTAAATATGGAAGAAAACACACGCCTTTATCTACATTTTAAGAGTCAAGTGTTCAAGCTGACTTCAATATACACTTTTAGTTACAGATTATTGTTTCAGCCGAAGACCGCGTAACGAGTTAAATATTTCCCCTTTAATGGGAACCTTAGGGCGCTGTTTTCAATGATGCATTCGAGCTTATGTGCTGCAAATCGCCGGAGATTTGAGAGACTATTCCCTGGAAGGTTGCGGGCTTCACGTGGTCATGCCGAGTTACTTATGCTGAGTCGTGTGACCCCCGTATGACACCCGCCTGGCGTTTCCCCACAGTCTCCGCCGGATGAGATGGGTCCGCGATCTGAGATCTCGGCGGTTTCGGTTTCGCTTCGTGCTTGGCACAAGTGGATACAACGAAAATTAAAACAAACACAGAGACAACGGAGACGACCGACTGAAGTGCAGATAAACAAAAAGCTAAGCTTACAATCACTCACACTCTGGCATTTTTCGTTAGCTACAAAAGTGCAAAACTCGTTTTTGCGCATTTTGCGCACTCAGCGTGAAAAAAATCAACTCAGCTGGTCCGCACTCAAACAAAAACAAAAGTAAAACTCGTTGCGGCAGCAAAATACCCAACTACCAATATGCATAGACACAAATACAATGAGTTGAGTGACGAGTACGTCGAACAATCCACAAAATACATAGGAAAGCGAACTCGGAATCCGATTCCGATTCGGACCTACCACATATCGTTTAGCTTTGGATTAGCTCTGGGAATTTTTGTGCAAAAAGCAAGATCAGCGAAACAGGAAAGGAGGAACGTATACAAATTATGACACTAAATATCAACTTAAATATGGACAGCGCCTCACATAATAATTTTCGATTTCGGATGAAGTCAGCGAAAGATTGTTGGGGAGAGGGGTATACCCTCTGCCCTTTAGAAAGACAACGCCTTTTCTGCGATCAGCAGAAGGTGAATATTAAACTAACAGTCAGCGATTTCTTCTCTTGGCGTTTGGTTAGCGACACCCATAAATGCTTGTTTACAACTAAATCCATTCACCTTATATTTTCCAGTTCAATTGCTGTTCGCACTTTAAATCAGTTCCCCAAGCAAACAACACATTCATTAATTTGGATGCACAGCAACTTTAGAACCACCATTCACATCCCCTAGCGGGGTATGCAAATATAAATGCGAAACAAAACACAAAACTGAAAGAAAAACAAAAGCGTATACGCAATTTCTCTGGTATAAATACCGTTTCTTCTTTATTCCCCATGAGTCACGAGTCCCAGACTCTAGGGGTTCAAGAGCGGTGCCAATTTCAGTACACACATCAGCTACACGTTAAAAAACTGGTGGGATTTGATGGCAAATTAATTGAGTATTACAGAACATACCAACCTACCAACTTATGAAGTAGCAGAAAAGTCTAACCTATCCACAGAAATATCATTTCAAAGTTATTTTACTAATTTTGTTCTGTGCGGGGAGAACATATACATTCATTCTGGGGCTGAGAGAAGCAATTAGTCAATTTTGTGGAAAAGGGAATGGAGACCTTGCCCCAAGACATGGCCCGATGCTTAGCAACCCGGAGAGGGGAGAAGGTCTCTGGGAGATAAAAAGTCTGATACTGGGGCCAGTGGAGCAGCTATTACCGTAAGTTATGGCCACTCCTCGAGCTAATTTAACTTTTAGTGCTGAACTCTCTTAGCCAGACACTTTCTAGGTTCACCATGTGGTCCAGTTTCAACAATTTCTAACCGAGTTTAATAACCACTTAGGAAAAGGCCCAAATTCGAAGGCCATTGTCATGTTATAAGAATCAATAGCTCTATAACACTCAATAAATGTTAATTGTTACGGGTTCGATTCAGCAGTCAAAAACAAGACAATTTATCAAATGTTTCTTATCAATTTGGTGGGCTTCCCTTTTTAAATCACTTTAATGCCTTCGCGTATAAAGAATTTTCCACTTGGGGCCAACGCGAAAACAGTTTGTGAGAATCAAGAACCCCCAATTGAAGAATATTTAATATAGTAAACAAAAATAAATTTTATTTTGTTGGATATTTCCCGCTGAACAAATGGTTTCCGTTTTGGAGAGCGATCACTTAAATTCGAATCCCACTTACTGCGTTTGAATTTTCTATTGGGAGCCTTTTTAATCAGAGACCTCTGCGCGAGGGATTGGAATTGCGACTGCTGACTTTGAGTGACTGGTGATGAGCTCGGAAAGCGACTGTCGCCAAACCAGCCGGAGAAGTCCGGCGTAAATGCGTTTCAGACGAAGCGGAA